TTCATTATATTCCATAAATGAGTGAGATCATGTGATATTTATATTGCTCTGACTGGGATATTTCACTTAGCATAATGATCTCCAGTTCCATCCATGCTGTTGTAAATGGTAAGAATTCCTTCTTTTTTTTTACTGCAGTGTAGTATTCCATTGTGTAGATGTACCACAGTTTTTTTTTTTTTTTTTAATTAAATCTTTTTTGTTCAGGTTACATTTGTTCCTCTTTTTTTCCCCCCCCTGACTCCCCTCCTCCCAGTTCCCGCCCCACCCTCCGCCCTCACTCCCCACCCACTGTCCTCATCCATAGGTGCACGATTTTTGTCCAGTTTCTTCCCGCATCTCCCATTCCCCTTTCCCCCCCAAGAATAGTCAGTCCATTCCCTTTCTATGTCCCTGATTCATTATAATCACCAGTTCATTCTGTACATCAGATTATTTATTCACTTGATTCTTAGATTCACTTGTTGATAGATGCATGTTTGTTGTTCACAATTTGTATCTTTACCTTTTTCTTCTTCCTCTTCTTAAAGGATACCTTTCAGCATTTCGTATAATACTGGTTTAGTGGTGATGAACTCCTTTAGCTTTTCCTTATCTGTGAAGCTCTTTATCTGACCTTCAATTCTGAATGATAGCTTTGCTGGATAAAGTAATCTTGGTTGTAGGTTCTTGGTATTCATCACTTTGAATATTTCTTGCCATTCCCTTCTGGCCTGCCAAGTTTCTGTTGAGAAATCAGCTGACAGTCGTATGGGTATTCCCTTGTAGGTAATTGAGTCTCTTTCTCTTGCTGCTTTTAAGATTCTCTCTTTGTCTTTTGCTCTTGGCATTTTAATTATGATGTGTCTTGGTGTGGTCCTCTTTGGATTCCTTTTGTTTGGGGTTCTCTGCGCTTCTTGGACCTGTAAGTCCATTTCTTTCACCAGGTGGGGGAAGTTTTCTGCCATTATTTCTTCAAATAGGTTTTCAATATCTTGCTGTCTCTCATCTTCTGGCACCCCTATTATTCTGATGTTGGTACGCTTGAAGCTGTCCCAGAGGCTCCTTACACTATCTTCGTATTTTCGGATTCTTTTTTCATTTTGCTTTTCCGGTTGGGTGTTTTTTGCTTCTTCGCATTTCAAATCTTTGGCTTGATTCTTGTGCTCCTCTGGTCTGCTATTGGGTGTCTGTATAATATTCTTTATTTCAGTCCGTGTATGCTTAATTTCTAGTTGGTTCTTTATCATAGCATCGAGGGTCTCATTAGTTTTCGTGACTCTCTCCTCAAGTTTATTGACAGCTTCTAGCACATTTTTGCAAGCCCTCAAAATTGCGATTTTTAGCTCTATATCCTCCATTTCTGTCATGTTTTTTTGTCTCCGCATTTTTTATGCTTTCTTGGTGCACCCCCTAGTGGTCTTTGTGCGCAGTCTTGTTCTAGTTGAGCCTTGATTGTTGTAGTTAATACTAGAGGGATTTGACCACCAGGCCGACTGGCTGTGTGAATCAGCTGTGTCTGCCGCGGAAAACTTCTGTCCTCTGGGGAGGTGCTAATCTAGCCTTTGCCTGCGGCGATCTGGCAAATGGCTCTGCGCAGGGCTTGGGCGGGGCGGGCTCAACAGGGCGGGCGGAGGGAGCCGTTATGGTGCCCTCAGTCCTGTTCCCAGAGGCTCTGCTTCTCAGAACCCCCGGAACCGCTGCAAACCTCGGAGGGAAAGCTGCCTTCCAACTGATGCCAGACACTCCCGCTTCTCCCGTTTGGGTCCGAGTCCCCAGCGATTCGCCCGTATCTGGAGCTCAGAGTCTGAGACTCCCCCCTGACCGAAAACGACAACCGCGCTCTCAGCCACCAGCCCGCTTTGCGCGCGCACCTCCGCACCTGAGTTTTTTCCACACTGCGCCTCCTCTGAGCCTCGGTGTGCTGTTATTTTTCCTTCTAGTTGAAGAGTCTCTCCTCAGCCAGCCTTCCTGTGGTTCTGGGTGATGTCCGTTCCGTCTTTTAGTTGTATTTTTGAAGTGGTTGTTTGCGGCAGCAGTCTCCGGTGTTTACCTATGCCGCCATCTTGGTGTATTCACACCTTTCTTTTTAATGAGTGTTTTTGCTAGAAGTAGAATTCGGTTTTATTTAACAACTTTGAAATTTACATTTCATTGTCTTTTGGCTTTTATTGTTTCTGATGAGAAGTTGTCTGTTGGTGTTAATTTTGTGAAGGTAATATGGGAACAACACCCCTCCCCCCCAATTGATTCTTTCATTTGAAAATTCTCTACTTGGTGTTTATAAATAAGGATGTTCATTTTCTTTCTTTTTTCCTTTTTTATTTTTATTCTCACCTAAGAATATTTTTTTTCATTGGCTTTTAGAGAGAGTGGGAGGGAGAGGGAGAGACAGAGAGAGAAACATCGATGTGAGAGAGACACATCAATTGGTTGTCTCCTACAGGGTCTGAGGGCAGGTGCTCTAACCACTGAGGAAACTGGCCAGGGCAGAATGTTCATTTTCAGGTTGTCCAACTCCCTGATACTATAAACAGTGCCATTTAGGACATTATTTATGGGAAGGTTTCTTTGGCATATGTGTACCAAGAGTGAGATTGATTATAGCATATTTTCAGACATAATTTCATGAGTAAATCCTCTTCCTGGAGGTCATTAGTGGGAGTTTTTTGTTCTGTTTTTACTGACATTCCCACAGTGCTTGAAATTAACCCAACTTTCTTATGTTTGTCAGTCTGATGGGTAGAAGGTAGTCTCTTGTTTAAACTTGCATTTTCTGTTTTCTAGAGATATACACTTCTTCACATCTTTTTCACCTTTTATGTGTTTTTATGTCCATTGACTATTTTTCTGCTTATGTGTTTCAAGTAGAACTTTAGTCTTCTTTGTGATTTGTGCTGTTCTGGTCATGTCAAATAAGTTCTTTCTCATTTCAAGGAAATATTCTCTGACATTTTCATCTCTTAGATTTATTCTTTTACCTTTCATATTTAGGTCCTTAATGCAGTTACCAGTTTTTTGTATGTGGTATAAGATAGAAATCCAACTTCATGTTTCTCAATATTCTGCCAGTTTTTCAAGTATTTTTTTCTTAGTTTTTGAAGGTATGTTTTATCATTTATTAAGGTAATTCCAAAAAGTAGTCTTCCTAAAATATAAATCTGATCATATTGCTTGAATTCATTTCAGTGGTACTCCATTGTCCCAAGATACAGTCTATATAGTCTTTAACATGGTTTAGGAAGTTCTCTGTGAAGTCATATTTGCTTGTCTCTGCATTTGCTGCCCACCCTGCTAGTACTCTAAACTTAACATGTGTTTTGTCCTGGCCGGGTGGCTCAATTGATTGGAAGGTCGTCCCATAAACCAAAACGGTTGTGGGTTTGATTCTCAGTCAGGGCACATACCTAAGTTGTGGGTTTGATCCACCGGTTGGGGTACGTAGGGGAGGAAACCGATTGATGTTTCTCTCTCCCCCTTCCTCTCTAAAAATGAATAAAAACATATCTTTGGGCAAGGATTAAGAATAAACAAATAATCTTAACTTTCTCCCTCTGGGAGATAACATACTGTTATTGTACATAATACAGCATGTTTTACTCGCTTTTCTCTCTGTATTCTTCACTATAGTCCCAGCAGTTCCTGTTATGTACTAGGTGTTCAGTAAATATTTATCAGTGGAAGGAAGTTGGTTGAATAATTTGGTCTTTGTCCTTCATTAACTGTCTAATTAACTCTTTCAGACCAGATTAATGTTTAGGGGGAACTAATTTAGCTGTAATAATAGACAGTTCTTTCAAATCTTCCGCATGTTGCCATACTGTATTTATATAGTTCCTTATTTGTTTCTGTAGCTTTTTACTTATCTCATTTGATCGTTAGAACAACTCTAGATAGAAAGATCAGGCATTACCTCTGTTCTTTGGATGTTGAATTATAGTTTAAGTGATTTGCCTGAGGCTCACACAGCTAGTTTTCTATTTGATCATACTTTTCTGGAGAAAGATTTGTTTGCTCAAGCAGCTGTGTACTATTAGTGGTATGAAAAATGCCACTTCATTCCAATATTTTTTTGTCAAGTATGTTTTAAAGGTAATATTTATGAGGTTTTCTTTATTGGCTTTTCATTTCCCCTTTTTTGAGGAGTTACCTTAAGCTTTATGACTAGCAGTGATGGGTTTCAGTCATACCAGTACTTTGGGGAGAAAACTGTGGGTAAATGGTTTCATTTAGAAATTTGCCTATGGAACCTTAAATATTACAAATTGTAACTATGGGAAATTTGGTGTCTTTAATATCATATGTATTATACTTTTTTATA